ATAATTTTTCTTTGCTTAGACATAATGAAGCTGTACAGTCGATGCATTTTAATCCCGTCTCGCATCAGCTTCTCAGCTGTTCACTCTCAGATATCGCCTTTTGGTCTGCGGAACAGAAAGCTGTGCAGAAACACAAATCTGGAGGAAGAGTCAATTGCTGTGCGTGGACAAGAGATGGACAATACTTGGCCCTTGGTCTTGCAAATGGATATGTATCCATAAGAAACAAAGTATTTTACTCATTTCGTCCATACAATTTTTTAAATTTTATATAATTAAATATTAATATACTTTTAAATATCTTGAATGTTAAAAATATAATAAATATTCTTAATATATCTAGTAAAATATATATGTATGACGTGTGTCTTTAGATTGTTCTAAATTATTTAATCTAACGTAAATTCACTTATATTTTGTATTTTTCAGAATGGTGAGGAAAAAACACGCATTGAACGTCAAGTTGGAGTACCAATTTGGAGCTTATCATGGAATCCTTTACAGTACCTACAATCCTATAAAAATTAAAGATATAATTGTTACATCTAATTAAGAGACAGAAGAAATAAAAACGTTTTGTTGATATTTACTTAGGGACGATGCTATGGATGTTCTTTGCATTGCTGAATGGAATGGAGTCATCTCATTTTACACTATTGGTGGGGAAGCTATCAGAAGAGAGAGATCATTCAGTTTTACACCACTTAAAATCACTCACTTCCCGGAAGGCCAATATCTTCTCGTTTGCGGTAGTAATAAACAATGTCTGTTGATGACACATGACGGCATACAGCTAGTTAATGTAGGTGGTACTTTTTCGTCGTGGGTATGGAGCTGTGCCGTTCACCCGACTGCCTCACATATTGTAAGTTACGAAATATTGTTTGCCGTACTACTTATTTTAATGATTTGTTCTTTGACGCTTATTTGCAGGTACTCGGTGCCCAAGACGGAACAATTACATATCTACAACTATCCTGGAACATCGTGCACGGTTTATACGGCGATAGGTATGCATACAGGGAGAACATGACCGACGTGATAATACAGCATTTGATTACGAATCAGAAAGTTCGAATTAAATGTAAAGATCTGGTGAGTATAATACTAAAAAAATTATGAGAAATAATTAAATGACTTAAAAATAAAAGGTACAGTGTTATTACGTTCAAATGCATATATCCTATTTCAGGTATGTCGGATCGCAGTGTATCGAAATAGATTAGCTGTGCAATTACCCGAGCGTGTAATCATTTACGAACCGTCCGGTACCGGCGACGGAATGCATTATAGAATACGAGACAAGCTTAATCAGACGTTGAACTGCAATCTATTAGTTGTTACGTCGAATCATTTAGTTTTGTGCCTGGAAAGACGTCTGCAGAGTCTCTCGTTCGCCGGGATAATAGAAAGAGAGTGGATACTCGATGGACTTATCACTTACATCAAAGTAGCGGGCGGTCCCACCGGACAGGAATGTTTAATAGCTGGTAAATTTCGATAAAAAAAACCCTGCACTAATTATAAAAAAAATATATGGAATTATAAATACATGAAAAGATATAATATAAATATATGAAAAATTAGATTCCGGTGAAATGAATTAGTTTATGAATTAGTTAACGATTTAAATTTCACATATAATGTAGCTTATAACGTAAATAAAAGATGCCATAGACACAAGGTTTAATAATGGATAATTTTTTATCTATAATGCATTAAAAGTGCTCTGTGAGCACAAGTTAGGTTTTAACCCTATTAAAAGCTCTATTAAACCTTGTATCTACGATATTTTTTCTTGTTCACTACATTATAAGCTACATCATATGTGAAAACTAACTCGTTTCATCGAGACCCATTCTTCTACATAATTAGTATAGGATCTTTTATTGTTTTATTATGATATATCAACAGTTGTAACATGAGTTGATGTTAGGGTTGAAGAGCGGACACGTAATGAAGATATATCTTGACAATCCTTTTCCCGCGCACATCGCGAAAATCGACGATGCCGTGAGATGCTTGGACATCAGCTCCTTGAAGGAGAAAATGGCAGTAGTCAGCGAAGCTGGTATCCTATCCGTCTTCGATTTGTGCACCGGCGAGAAACTGCAAGAATTCCAAAATGTCAACAGCGTCGCGTTCAACACTGCCTTCGAGGATATCATGTGTTTCGCGGGTAACAATTATCTCGCGATAAAAGTTGCGAACTTCTCCGAGTACAGGCAGAAGTTCTCCGGTTTCGTCGTAGGACACAACGGCTCAAAGCTGTACTGCTTGAACGGGTCGTCTATCATGACGCTAGAGGTAAGTCGTTCTAACATTAAGCAAAATAGCAAACTACTTATTATATTTTGTATGATATTATCCTTTGATATTTGCAGGTGCCATTGTCGTTATTTATGTATCAATATATAGATATTGGATTGTACAACCACGCTTATGACATAGCGTGCTTAGGCGTGGCTGAATCGGACTGGCTCGCTTTGGGGACAGCGTGTCTGGACAATCTAGAATTGAACATCGCATATTCGGCGTTCGCACGAATAAAGAAGCTGCGTTATATAGAAATTGTGTCCGAAGTGGAAGAGAAATTAAAATCGGGCGAATGGGGACGGGAGGCTTGCATGGCTACTGCCGCAGCCGCTATGGGGAGACTTCGCGACGCAGCAAAACTCTATCAGAAAGCCGGTTTGCAACAATACGCTCTGGATATGTATTCCGACTTACGAATGTTCGACATCGCTCAGGAATTTATCGCCTCCGGCAACATGCAGGTTTGTTTATAATCAACATTTTAAAGATTAGCACATAAGAAATGTAATAAAGTAAAATATCGATGAAACGGAATAATGAACGATTGGATAATATTTATCAAACATTGGGTTTAACAATTCATTTGGGTCTTCAGGATCGTACGGTATTATTGCGACGGCGAGCGGAATGGGCGAAAAGCTTGGGCGAGCCGCGTGCCGCGGCCGAGATGTTCCTCTCCGCGGGAGACATCGACCGTGCCATCAGTATTATCGCTGAATACGGTTGGATCGACATGCTAATTAAAGTAGGCAGGCAATTGGACAAGGCGGACAGAGACAACCTATCTATGATCGCCAAGAAACTTAAGCAATTGGGTGCTTCGCATGGCGCGGCGGAGATTTTCAGCCGGCTGGGAGACGATCCTGATGTTGCAGACGTGCTTGTGGATGCACAAGCGTGGCCCGAGGCCTTCGAACTCGCGGAAAGGAATCCGAAGTTGAAATCACGAATATACGGGCCGTACGCACGATGGTTAGCGGAGACCGGACGATTTTCCGAGGCTCAAGAAGGTACGGCTCGCCATCAGAAGATACGGATACGCACAGTATCGAGATTTAATTATTGATTAACATTTAATATCTATTACAGCATTCCAAATGGCGGGACAACCAGAAGAATCCATACTCGTACTCACGATGCTAGCTAACAACGCTGTGATAGAGAAAAGATTTCGCGACGCCTCCTACTTTTATTGGCTCCTGTCGCAGTTGAGTTTGGATTTGTCTAAGAGCGTGGAAGAGATAAAAATGATGTTTCTCAATTATTCCGACAAAGCGGATATTTATTACGCGTATCACGAAGTATTCAAGTATCTGGTACAATCGTAATACGTTAAATATGGTATTTTCTCCATTATAGTCTTCCTTCATAACATTGATGTATTCTAGGAGGAACCTTTTACATCTCTGATGCCAGAGGCGTTATTCAACATTTCGAGATATTTGCTCATGAAGACGCAAAATATGCGACTAGACGGCATTTCGAAGATGACGATAATGTACTGTCTAATGAAGCAAGCACGGATATTGGGAGCTAACAAGCTGGTTATGCAATTATTGGACCAATTACGTTCGATAAAGATTCCCACGAATCTCTTAGCGCAAGTAGAGACGTCTACTCTAATTGCCAGATCTTATCCGTATCGTGATCCGGAAGAATTATTGCCTCTATGCTACAAATGCTCCACCTTCAATCCGTTATTGCCGACGAATAATGTTTCTGGTAGTAATTGCACGCAATGCGGTTTAAAATTTCAATATTCCTTCGTTATGTTTGGTAAGTAGCAGAATACAATCCGTAAAAGTTTAAATTCATTCTAGAGCAGCAGACTGCTAAACCAATATTCATTTACAGAAATTCTGCCATTAGTTGAGTTTGAATTGGAGGATAACATCACGGACGAGGAAGCGGAGAAATTGATAGAGGAACCATTACCTTCCCCCGATGATCTCGCAACTAGCGATCAATTGACCATAACTTCCAACGAAGCTGATCTCTTCACTGTCCGTTTACTGAAATACGAGGTATAATTAACACTGAATGTACGATCGCACGAAGCATTCGTTTGACTAAAAAAAATTACCTATCACAGGAAAAATCCACTGATTCTACGGTAACTGTCGGAAGAGGGGTATTGAAAAGTATGGATCCGTCTACTGTGATAATTATTAAATGGCCTAAACCCTTTAAAACTAGATACTTTAGGAATCTCTTACCCGATCTTCAGATCAGCTTGTGCAAGTGCTGTTTAAAGGTAAGTTACGAATAACGCAACTTTAAAAAAATCAAGCCTTGGAATCTTGTTCTGTATGATTGTATAATATTTCAGTTGTTTCATTCGGATGACTACGAGCTAGCGTTGTTACGACACGGGCATTGCCCGTTCTGTCGGACACCGAATGTAACCGCTTGAATGAGATTGAAAAATGTGAAATTAGAAATTTTTTATAGATCAGACATACATATTGGACTGTTGAAAATATTTTAGAAATGTTTTAATTGCGCGAAATAAATATGTTTTAGAAATGTTTCAATCTTTCTATTTAGGATTAGATCTTGTACAGCACTGTTGTGACATATATTATAACTTATTTTTTAAATGCGAAACCTTTTGCGTTATTTTTTCTATTTACTACTACGATTGTATGATTCGAATAAATAAAACAAAAGTACCTCACAGGCGTTGTACAGTTAAAGGAACAGTAAGCCCGAGGGTTCGGCAACGTGCTAATTGCGGTGATCATCTGAGTACATATATTCCGTTACCGGCATTCCCTTGAGAGCCAGAATATATCTGGCAATCTCAGTCGCACTTCCAGACATGATCAGTATACTCTTAGTCGGCTACTTTACTCTCGTATTCGTCATAAGTGTTCGGACTACTAATTTGGATCAGCCCTTAAGAGATAATGCTTTAGAGATCAAATCGTTTAATTCCCATTCCAATCATCAGGGAAGGTGTAAGTATTTAAAAGTAATAAATGTCATTCCAAATATGTACATTTGAAACGATGTAACTCTTTTGATGTATCTTCGTTCAGTCTTCCCGCTATTCAGCGTCGTGCGTTTCGCCAACTCCGAGTGCTTGTCGAACATCGATCAACTTAATGGCACATGCTTCACAAGACGAGAGTGTGCGAATTTCGGAGGCAACCCGTCGGGATCGTGCGCTAACAGATTGGGCATTTGTTGCGTATGTAAGTAGCATAAAAGAAATACGAATTATAAAATAAGTTATAATTTATAATAAATCACAATTATAAATTACAATTTTTTAATTATGAAATAAATTGATATACCTTTCGACAGTTCAAAAGTCTTGCGGCTCCACCACCAACATGAACAACACGTATTTCGTAAGCCCAAGATATCCTATCACTTATCGAGGTGGAGAACGCTGCTCGATCACAGTGCAACGTTGTAATCCTAACATATGTCAGGTAACGTGCGTTAATTTCAGTAAGTCACAGCCTTTACAATGTCCCATGTTTGCAGTTGCGACTGGACTTTCTGGAGGCTACCTGGGCTCAGCCAAATGCCACTGGATTTTGCGATTTAGACGTGTTTCTCGTGTCAGGAGGTTCATCCACAGTGCCCAGAATATGCGGAGAAAACACTAACCAGCATGGTAAATAAAACGATAATTTGTACAAATTTTCATACAGGTTGAGGAAAGTAGATTAATTAAATTCGTTATCAGTATACGTAGACTTTAATGGAGCAACGCCAATCACGATATCCGTCGACACCAACGCGAATTTCGCATTCGATCGACGCTGGAATATAAGGATTCAGCAAATAGCGTGCGATTCTGTATGCAGAGGTACGCAAGCATTTTTATTATATCATTGCCTTGAGATACTTGAACAATTGTCTCCCGCCTCTATTTTAGCTCCTAATGGATGCTTACAATATTACAATACTATCTCCGGCACCGTAATGAGCTTTAACTTTGGTACGACGGAAAATGTCCGAGGTACGTCAGTCAAACATGAACTCTTCGCGTTTAGACCATTCATTTAAAACTATAAATGAACGATCTAAATTAAGAGTTGTTTCAGCTCCTCAGATTGGAACGCGACAGATGGTGAATCATCGTTATGGCGTGTGCGTTAGGATGGCTTTGGGATATTGCAGTATTGAATGGTCAGAAGTCGATAATCTCTCCTTTTCCGTTTCTGGAGACACGGGATCGTTTGATCCAGATATAATAGGTATATCAGTTATTCCTTGAAAATTTCCTGTATAAATCTAACGAGAACTATTGATCGAATATACCTTGTAAAATTTCATCGCAGAATCTTGCTATCTTGCTATTTATTACGGCATTTAATTATTATGTATATTAACAGGCACAGCTTTGGTGGCAGAATCTGGAGCTAGCTGCACCACTGATTTCGTTATTATACCCGATCCGCAAGAAAATGGCGTTTTCGATAATACAGACAGATTTTGCGGAAATGGATTTATAACTAAAACATGTAGGTAATCATAATACCACGTTATAGATTTTATAGAGATACTAAATATTTTTCCACTGAATTTCTAGCGGACTTAAAGCCGTTCGTACTTTACGTCGTTACAAACGGCGATGAAATGCAAGAGGCCCAAAATAAAGGCTTCGCACTTTCATTTCGTCAGCTGCCTTGCGCAGTTATATAAATATATTTTTTTCTGATCGAAAGTAATATTATCTTACCATATTGTTAAAAAAAAAAATTGTATAAGTACGATTTATTATGTAAATAAATAATTCTATACACAGATGTGGAAATCAATTATTATCTACTCAAATTTGTGCTACCAGAATGTGCATCAACTTGCTCCTTCATAGCGTTGTACCAAACACCGATGTTTGTATGGGTCTTCAAATCTTGAAAAGCGTCACAGCCTTCGATACTCTTCAAAATACCATATATCGCTAGATCGGATAAATCAGGCTTGTTGCCGCCCATGAATATTGTGCCACGTGCCTTAATGCCACGCAACCAATAATTCGCCTCATCGTACAACGATTGTCGCACATCATTTTTTAGACGGTGCCTCTTCTTAAGTCTCTTCCCTATTAACCACATTGCCGTCGCGCCTACATTTACTATTAACAGTCGCTCCCACGTTGGGAAATATTCCTCCCATTTACCAACCTAAATGAAAAAATTTTTTTAATCTCATAATCGTTCTGGTATGTATTTTCTAAATCACTTTTCTCATAGGACGGTATTCATAGTTGATTCTTATATTCAAGACTGTCTTAAGATGTCATGAACCAATCAGAGGGCCGTATTAGCATCTTAAGAAATTACTTAAAACGATCTTGAAATAAGAACAGACTATTAATACCAGCCATAGATTCACTCACTTCCGAGAACCAATTGAAAGTTTTGTAGGATTCATCGAGTGTTCTATAGACGTTTGGCGAAAGAGTGAAATACGTCATCTGCCCACTTCCTCCACTTACGTTCTTCGCTAAACATATAAAGAAATGATAAAATAGTATAGAATGCAATAACTAAAGAGTTTGCTACAACAGTGGATCCACATTTCATAAAAACAGAGTAACTGAACTTTAAAACTAGAGTGAAAAAGGAAAACTGTTATTTTAATATTACTCTCTCTTTGTTTAAAGTTAATAGAGCATTTACTTTGTTTTTACAAAATGTGAGTTAGTCCACTATTGCAGCAATTATCAAATCGTGCGTATCAGAGTTTACGTACATAATATCGTCCATTGATCTGTTTTTTGGAAGTTGGTTATTGAACATGAGGAAATACTTATTTATGATTTCGTATCTGAATTTGCCATTTTCATCATGCATGCCTACACTTGGATAATAATCAGCAAACTCTTCAATCTTTTGAGACCTATCATATAAGTAGGAGGCAAGAAGCGACACTATCAAGCTACTGTCATTCAAGGGCCGATAGCCTCCTTCCACTTGAGTTAAGAGGATTGGAACTTTTTTATATAAAGACCATCCAATTTCTTTTCGGAGTACTGGATCTACCTCCACAACGTCATAAGATATCCCATAATAATCCAAAAATGCTCTAACCTGAAGCATAATTCCATTCAGATTAACTTAACAGATTAGTTTATTATCCAGTAAACAAATTGATATTATTTAGCATCATTTTAATATCAAAATAACATCAAAATGATGACAAATAATATCTTGTTTGCTGAGTAGTATCTATATTAAATTAAATATATACTAAATTTTTATATTAAATGTATTATATTCAAATATCAATATTATTTTGTTAATATACATAGAATTATTAACTTTTTATAGTTAAAGAAATATTGAAGTACGAAAAGGAAGACAAGATCACGGATAAATTATACAGTTATAGATTTTGCTTCTGAAATTTTTGAAATTTTACCTACCTTACAGCAGAAAGGACAAGTCTGATACTGGAATAATGTAAGTTTTAAACCGGTAGTGTCCACCGGATACGCAATCTGAAGCAAGACAGGCGCGATTATGTTAATGCCAGACGCAACATCCAATCTCTCACGGAACGATTATTAAAATACCTTCCGGGACGGAGTGACAGGCGGCTTGTGCTCGAGCAAGACGGTATCCAACTCCGTTCCCTCCAGGGCGATGTTCTTTCGGGTTTCGCTGATCCTGTAGTATGCGTAACCTGCACCCACTGCGACGCCGGTAGCCGCGCTGATCAGACCGAATTTTACCAAGGCTTGTGTCTCCCGCGACAGTCCTACAATCGCCCCGTTCGTGGAAAATGATCTCAAAATGCCATTCTGGCTGGCGAAGTAGCACTTGTTGAGAAACTTCGCCCTTTCCATAAACCGGGCGAGGTTGCGGATCGCAGCCATTTTTAGGTTATCGAATAAACGCAAAGCGCATTATGCAGATACGAGAACTCTATCTGTCTGCCTGTACCGGTATGTGTGTGCATGTGCATACGTGTTATTTATGCGTTGCCGTGTATGCGCGCGTATATAAATTGACAGCCATAGATCATTATATTCAATTATATTGCATATTATTGTAAATTATTTCTTATTATTACTATATTATAAAATATTATTTATTATTATTTTATATTTCTATTATTATTATTACTACTGTTATTAATTGTATTTATTGTTATTGTATTATTATTGTTGTTATAATTATTGCGCAAACGCGCGTAACCCTGATTGGAACAAAAGTTCGTAGCGTTTTTTCAATAGGTGGCGTTTGAACACGTGATTCATTTCACGCGTGGCTGAAACATATGACATTCGCAATCTGACAGGTGATGTTTCAACGTTGTGCGTGGATTTGCCAATTTTAAAATGCGTTTACGTTAACAGTAAAAATGGAGGAAAATAAGATGCATTTCCGTCATTTGATGCTCTTTTATTTCCGGAAAAGAAAAAACGCTGCACAAACGGCAAAGAAGATATGTGCCATTTACGGAGATGGTACCGTAGCTGAGAGTACGGTTCGCAAATGGTTTGCTCGATTCAGAAGTGGTAATTTTGATCTGGAGGACCGAGAACGTTCCGGCAGGCCCGCGGTCGTTGACGACGATCAAATCGTAACGTTAATTGAAAATAATCCACGTCACACGACGCGGGACATCGCAGAGATACTCCATATATCTCATATGAGTGTCGTAAGGCATTTGGAGACACTCGGATACGTGAATCGTTACGATGTTTGGGTGCCACACGATTTAACGGAAAGAAATTTAATGGACCGCATTTCCGTCAGCTATTCTTTGCTCAAACGTAACGAAAACGATCCATTTTTGGAACGGACGATCACGGGCGATGAGAAATGGATCGTTTATAACAATGTGCAGGAGCGAAAAAAGTCGTGGGGAAAACGAAATGAGCCGTTAACTACTCCGAAAGATGATCTGCATCCAAAGAAGGTGATGCTGTGCATCTGGTGGGATTGGAAGGGTATCGTGTATTACGAGCTTCTTCCACACAATCAGACGTTGAATTCGGACAAGTACTGTTCCCAATTGAACCAACTGAAGGCAGCAATCGATGAAAAACGACCGGAATTGGCCAATCAGAAGGGTGTCGTCTTCCATCAGCACAACGCCAGATCTCACATCTCCTTGCAGAGCCAGCAGAAATTGGTGGAGCTTGGCTGGGATGTCCTACCTCATCCACCGTATTCACCTGACTTAGCACCTTCAGATTACCATTTATTTCGAGCCCTACAGAAATCTCTTAATGGAAAGAGCTTCAATTCCCTGGAAGATTGTAAGAACCACCTGGACCAGTTCATCGCTGAGAAAGATGCCAAGTTCTGGGAGAATGGAATCATGAAACTGCCTGAAAGGTGGCGAAAGGTAGTGGAACAGAATGGCACATATGTGGTTGAATAAATCTATGTACAAATATCTAAGCATTGTCTTTGAATTTCATTTGACAAATGCTACGAACTTTTGTTCCAACCCAGTATATTATTTAAATGTATTTATTAAAAATACATACTTCGCTTTCCAATCTAAACGAGAATAATATAGATTTATTTATTAATCATCATGATTTTAATTAATGTACATATAATATTCATAATATATATCTGGCGACATATAGACAAATGTGTCATTAAACATTTTATAAAAAATATGTTCTCTAATGTGTGTAAATAGCACTATTACTCTATCCTTTTTATATTAAAAATCCTGGCGATTTCGTCAGATAATGCACTAAATAGATACAATTCGAGCTACATTTAAAAACTTGTTTTATAGATTACAAATATAAACGTGCGCTTCTACAGTACGTTTATAAATTCATATTAAATATAAATAATTAAAAATTAGTTTGTTTAGAACTTAGGCTTTTAAAGGCAGTATTCGTCCACTTGCGGAATATATTGATACAAAAATATTCTATCGTTGTTAATAATAATTCTTCAGGCAGTTTAATAAATATAGAGATTCTTTAGGCACTATTAAGTGGATGTATTCCATTATTTCTTCTGATCGTATTACTTTATACCAAATATATATTTTAGCGTTTCATCTTGTCAAGGATCGGCACAACCATGTCGAAGGACGGTCGCTTGCCCGGATCCTCATTCATACAAATTCGAATAAGCTTTGCGAGATGCGGAGAGATGCCCGGCGGAATGCTTACGCGTAAATCTTCCAGGGCGATCTAAAATTAATTATCAGTCTTTATTTAATGTTCAAATGAAGATCGCTATATATAACCTAGTTTACATCGTGCGCTTGATACGGATACTAACTAGTAACTTTCTATTAAATTATTTTAATTTCAGCGATGTATTCAAAGAATGATGTACTAAATTGATACAATATGCATCAAAATGATTAATTAAATACACATATCATGTATATGTTTACACGTATCGCCGAAATTAAGATAATTCAATAGAAAGTTATTAGTTAGTACTCATATCAAGTGCACGATGTAAACTAAGCCTATAAAACGATATTTTTTACCAAAGTTACAGGGGAAAGAGAGAGAGAGAGGGAATCTTGTATTGTAATTTCTTTCTGAAGTAAGAGATGTATTGCGCACCTTCATGCCACATTCCATAGGTGATAGATCCGCAAATGGTACTTCTCTGGTCGCCAATTCCCACAAAAGAACGGCGAAGCTCCACATGTCGCTCGCTTCATGATTGATTTCCGTCGGACGTTTGCTCAAAGCTTCCGGTGACATCCATGCCGGTTCATAAATTCGTCCGACTTCTTGGAAGGAAAATTTCGCATCGGCCATATTCACACGAGCTGTCAGATCCTCATCGATCTGATATTGAAATTGAATGTAACATGTTAAAATCAACATAGACTTTGTGCGTTCAAGTTTAGACTGCACATTTGGAAAATTTGTGTTAAATTTAATACATGTCATGGACCACTCAAATTTTTGTGTTAACACAAAATAAATATGTTAGAAAGTAACACAAATATTATGTAAAAAATTAATAGAGTTTAACATTGACACAATTTGTAAGCAATTGTGGAAGCATATTTTTTCAGTAAAATTAATATTTATGATATATTAAATTAACACATATTTTTTACTCACTCCTCTTACAATTTTAAAACATTATTTTTAAATTACTTGATCACTTATTCATAAATTATGTTATTTTATTATTAAGAAGTATTTAATATCAATTTCACACAAAATATTTAAATAATATAATCACATTATGTTAAATTAACACTCAAATATGTAAAAATTTCAACGCAAAATTTTAACAAGGATTTTAGTAGACAAATTTCCAACACAAATACAAAATATTTCTTGTATATCCAGATATTTAATTATTCATGTAATTACACTAATTACCGACTATCTAGAACTCACCATTATATGCTTACTGTTGAGGTGAAATCTGCATCTATTCTGCCGATCCAAACCGTGAAGGAATGCCATAGCTCTGGCGACATCGAGGGCTAATCGTAGAGCACGCGCCGTGTCTACGACAACACCCGTCCCGCCGTGCAGAAGTCGATGTAAGCTGCCTCGCGCCATGTATTGGGAGACGGTCGCCAACTGCGGAGGCTGATTCACGCAGCCAAGGACCGGCAAAACGTTCGGGTGTGAGAAGATTCTCAGCTTTGGGAACTCCTCGTTGAAATCCCTGGAGACGCGCGTGGTACATTCGCGGATATTTAATATCTTGGCAACGATATCGTTGTTTTGCCATCGACCTCTCCAAGTTTCGCCACTCGGTGTGCTCGCAAGGTGCATGTGGAGGGACAGATCCGCCATACTGATCCCTTTGTATCTCGAGAGAGTCGCGTCACCTAAAAAATATTATAAAGAAAATGAAATGTACTCCCGACATTTGTCGTTTTTTAGGAATTTCAAAAGCACTTACGGCTCCTGGTCTTCAAGCCTAACCAACTCTGATCTTTGAACTGTATCTTCTTCAAATCTTGTCCATACTCCACTGCTAAATCTAATGAAACAAACAAATTAATTAGACTTCTGGAATCAAACAAAAATAATAAAAAGAAAAGAGTATGGACTAATAAGAGTTAACACACACATGGATATTAATACACAAGTATGTATATTCGAAGTATGTAATACAAACGCCTCAGTAACTTTTGTATTGCATACTTTGAATATACTTGCGCATTAACATTTGCATTGACTCTTATTAACCCATATTTCTTTCTTTTTATTGTTTTTCTAATGAAACAAGAAATATATTCGACGTGCGAATATAACAGAACTAATTTAGAATGTACAAACTTTTACATACCATGCAATCTCTTGGCCACGACACCTCTGGCTTTATCAAGGGGGGTGTCACCGTCTTTGTTGGCAATAGATACGAGAGCACCCGCTGCGACCAATTCTTCCGCAACCGCCTGATCTCCCCAGAAACAAGCGTAGTGCAAGGCAGTGTTTCCATGTTCATTTGTGACATTTACGTCGGCACGATTTCTAAGTAACTGCAAACAGTTATATGTTTTAAATTGATAATCTTAATACTCTGTCTGCTATTATATGTTTATTTCCTCTGTCTAGCCCAAGTTTTTTTACTATTCTAAGCTTTCAAAAAATGTGAAAAATTCAAGGTTACTTTTTAACATTTCTATTACATTATCAAATAATTTTTTAACAAGGTTTTAGGAAGAAACTGGACCTTCCCTTAGAGATTGAGAGTAAAATTTCGCTTATGCCAAAGATGGAGAGTTAAACAAAATAATGTTATTAAGGCTGCGGTTCACTCGACGCTACAAACGCTTCGAAGCGTTTGAGCGACCAATTAAAACAAAATATTTTACGAATTGACTAATCAAAGAATGCTTCGAAGCGTTTGTAGCGTCAAGTGGATCGCAGCCTAAATTTTTTCATTACCAGCTGTACTATCTCTTTGTGTCCATGTGCTGAGGATAAATGCAACGGTGTATCATCTCCTCTGTTGGTGGCATTAATGCGTGCCCCTCTGGTAACTAACAACTCTGCCAATTTTATGTGGCCTTCTTTAGCACACCAGTGAAGTGGACTAAATCCATGATCGTCTCTGTATACAGAATAATACGTTCAAGGACAATGAAATATTTTGCAATGAGAATTTAAGATATTAAAATTCAAATTATTGTATTGCAGACATTTGCAGTCAAACGTGAGTAAATATTTTTTAAAATATCACCCAAAAAACAAGATTCAAAGTGTCATAAACAAAACACTGCAATGAGTACTTTCCATTTAATGACACATCATTTTATTTTTCTTGATATTCAGTGAATAACAAAGATAAGAACGACACTTGTGTCAACTTGTTACCAAATGAAAATCACCCATTCATGTCTATTCAATTATTTTGATAATCAAATCTCTATTTTTAGTTGTTTCCTAGAATACCCAGGGGACTTTCCATAAAGAATATTCGTTACAGAATTATCGGATCATCCAGCCAGCCTAATTATAGAGTCAGAGAAACCGCGACGTCCGGCGGGACGAGTCCTTTCCAAAAAAGGAGTTCTGGAGTAGTTACCCCTGATTCATGTCATGCTCCGTGTCATCCAGCCAGACGCGGACTTGCATAGCGTTGCCTTCGCGACACCACTGAAATATATCCTCCATTTTCGCGCCGTTATCATGAACCGAGGCCGTAAACATACAACAGGCGACGCCGCGAGCGAGCTATATCAAGTCGTTCCTGCTCCGAAATGGCCAGCCGTCATACGCTAAATATAGCCATGTTCCTGACACTAACACCAACGTGGCAACCTCATTACTCGCCGCGTGCGTACATAACTGTGGCGTTCTCTTACGAAAGGAAGGAAATCGAACACCTCTGTGTTAATCGGAAACACGCATCTCGCGGATTCGACGCGGCTCTCGAAAGTCGCGTGAGATTGCGTGCCGAATTCCTCCGGGTGACCATATACGAACCGACGGCGAGACACGCACGAAAGAAACGGCCCACACCAGCCCGTGGTGGGCGGACACCGTCATCCCCCTTCGCGCCGCATCCCGACGAGTTGACATGAGTATCTAATGGAGCACACATGTATCTGATGAGCACTGACGAGGAACGTCTCCCACGAGACGCCGTCTAGGTCCATCCATATCTGCCGCAACCTCGTGCTTCGTTTGCCGTCGGTAAAACCCATCGTTTGTCTCTCATACCTTCCTTCCTTCTTCTTATTTTTTGGCTCCTGCCTCCGTAGATAAAAGGAGAGAATACGGCCTTCCTTCCAAATGCTGGATTCACACTGCATCCGATTTTCGTCGTACGATGCTCTGCAACCAATCAGAAAACAGGATTCCGATGAATTTTGCTTCGTATTATCGGAATCTTGTTTTCTGATTGGATACAGAGCGTACAACGAAAATCGGATGCAGTGTGAATCCAGCAAATGTCTTAAGATGCTAATACGGCTCTCTGATTGGTTCATGCACGCACTAGCTTAAAACCATCTAGAATCTTGAGCACCGTCTATGGCCGGAATCAGACTACGCATTGAAGATTGAGATTGAAGATTAAAATTTGAAGGTACTTTTTCATGCTGACGCTCGACGCTTATTTTCGGCGTCAAAATAAGTCACGTGATAGACATTGACGAATATCAAGCGTCAATTTTGATCACATGATCTATTTTGACGCTGAAAATGAGCGTCGAGCTTCAGCATGAAAAGGTACCTTGACCAGTGAGGACAAAGGAATTTTAGCTCCTATTGTTTTGATTGATCAAATTTTAATCTTCAATCTCAATATTCAATGCGTAGTCTGATTCCAGCTTATGGATTCGCCCTATGTCTTTGCTTCCTCCTCTCACCCTAGTCCACGCACTTGCATTCGTCTCGTTTTAGATGCAGTAGTCTCATGGGAACACTGGCAGCTGAGAACTTATCTTGTATCTTTATAGCGACCAGCGACTGCCAGCGACGCGCGAGGAGTCAGCAAAAATGACGACAGGTGGGCGCTCGACAGCGATCGCGAACAGATGATTGCCGGTTGTCCAAGTGTGTTGTCCACGTCGACATGGACGAAAGTCTGGAACGTTGCGTGAAGTCTCTCGAAGAGAACACGGAAGATGTGCGCGATGAAGCTCGACGAGCGTTGCTGAGTATTTGCCGGAATGTGTTGAGATCGCCGAACAATTACAGGTCCCGCGAACTGCGCCTTGACGACGAGGTCGTCGTCGAGAAACTTCTGCCGGCCATCGGTGCCCTGGAGTGTCTGTTCGACGTCGGCTACGTCGAGGTCTGTACTCGGTTAAGATCTTCGAGGTTCTCTGGATTTTTCTCTCTTGATTGCTGTCAATGAAACAGCAGCATCATGCTATACGCAAACAATAACATTAAATCAATATTGGCTGTTTTTCTTTTAAGAGGAAAGTTACAGTCGACGCAAGTAGATCGTTTTATCTTTGAGTGCTTTCTATTTAGTGACACAAGTCAATAACAGCAGCATTCTATCTTTCTTGACATTCAATGAGTAACAAAGACATAATGACACTTGTGTCAACTTCGATCATTAAATGGAAAGCACCCTTTGTTACTTATTAAATGCTGAGAAGATAAAACGTTTGTGTCGACTGTGGCCATATTCGTATATTACTATCAGTATTGAAAGTCTATAGTTCTTGTTACGTATACTATACTGTACTAACAACTGGCAGTAATATACGAACACGGCCTTTGTCTTCTGAAGGGCAGCCATTATAATTTTCCAACAATATAAATGTAATATAACTTGTAATATATTATACATAACAGTTGGCTGTGTTCAATAGAAATAGCAGCTTTGCAAGGTTCTTTATTATGGGACTCATAAAAAAGTTGATAGAAAAATTCTATCATTTTGAATATGGAATCTGGTTCGTGAATTCACTAATTTGAATCGTATCTAATAGGAATCATATCTAATAGGAATCATATCTGATCAATTGTGATGCTCGCGAAGTCGATAGAAAATGATACAAATTGATAAAAATCCTATTGTTCTCCATCGTTCTCTATCAACTGTTTTTACCATACCCTTTTAGTTCTTTACTAGATCTAAATGTGTTAACTAATTACTTTAAAGACTCTTACACAACAGTTGCAAAGCTTTTTTTTCTACTATAATCATCATTGAGTAGGAAATTATAACATTAATGTAATGTTACTGTTAATTCTGTTAATTATGTTCAGTGGAATTATAAACTAATTATTGTATACATTTAAATATGAACATTACTGACATTTACCGAAATCCTTACTAAGCTGTCAATTGTATGCAACAGGATGGAGAACGCATATTCTTACCACGAAACGTATCCCTCTTGAAGCTCCAAAGTTTGTCGAGACTGCTGTGCACTGCGACAGAAAGCAGTCCTATTACCGACGATGTTGACAAGAGCTCTACAGCGCAGAAGACATTCTTCGACAGAATCGTTGGACATTTTCGTGATGTTCTGTACTACGAAGATCCGAATTTACAAAAAAAAGCCAAAAGAGTTGTACCTGTTGTACAATTAGAAATTGCGACAATGACGAAGATGAGGGATCTACAAAAGTAATTTAATCTATGCTTTTTATCTTCTTTGATAAAACTTATCTTTACATACTTACTCTTTTATCTTGGCGTTTGCAGATCTTTTAAATTAGAGAATGCTGAAGCTATCTCTTCACAATTCGAGGCAGAATTGATAGCTAAAGATTTATTTCTGGTCGAGCTTCTACGCTGGTTTAAGTATGAATTTTTTAAATGGGTCAACAATCCAAAGTGTCCGACGTGCTCCACTGAATGTACATACGAAAATGTGATACATTCTATAAATCCTCAGTGCTCAAGAATAGAGTTGTATAGGTATAAAATTCTTTTCGATAAAATCTTTGTAGAAATTGTTTTTGGATTTTCTTCATACAATTTTTCAGAATTTCTAAATAATTTTATAACTTTTTAGAAAATGTCTCAGATTTTTTATAGAAATTGAAACAGAGATGCACTTTTGAAATGTGATGTCTTCTTAGAATTTTTCATTTTATAAGAAATAATTTTGTAACTTATTTAAAGAAAACTTATACAATTTAAAAAAGTTTAAGATATTTTTTCAGAAATCTTCATAAATTTAAAGTATGACAATAAATTCTTAAAAATATTATGAGAAAATATTAGAATTGTTTTCACCAGAGAACCATGTATTGTGAGCAAATTGCTTTGGAATATCACTATGGCATTAATTCAATCGTAGATGCCAAAAGTGCAATATAGTTGTCGAATTTCCTCGTTATACGCATCCAGAACCACTGCTGACCCTGAGACGCGGTCGCTGCGGGGAATGGGCTAATGTCTTCACCCTTTTATGCCGATCGTTAGGCTACGATGCGCGATTTATATGCGATGAAACAGATCACGTCTGGACAGAGGTACATCGAATTATCATTCATTAATTTCGAAGTACATTTGTAATCGTAATGTAACTCGTTTCTTTACTTTCACAGATATGGTCGGCGTCGAACAAGAAATGGATTCATTTAGATCCGTGTGAAAATATCATAGACAAGCCATTAATGTACGAAAAGGGATGGCAAAAGAAGTTGACATACATAATATCCTATTCTAGAGATGAGGTGCAGGATGTCACGTGGCGTTATACGCGAGATCAAGAGGCCGTCATGAAAAGGCGAAGAACTTGTGCCGAACAGAGCTTAATACATTTACTCCAATCGTTAACTTACCAGCGGCAAAACTCCGCCAACTATAGTAGCGCACGTAGGGAGTACGTTGTCAAGCGGAAACTGTTAGAGCTCGCCGATATGCTGTACATTCCAAATTCGCAGAAGGACTTTGACGAAGAGGTCTACGAGGGGCGAACCTCGGGTTCTCTTATGTGGAGATTGGCACGAGGTGAAATTATGCAGGTGCGGATATATTTAAATTGTAGAACCAGCGCAAATCAAACTTTGAAATACCATAGCATAAATACTTGAAAAAATTTATGTTCTTTTCGATACAAAATATTCAAATAGAATTCGCATGACATGTCTTTATCAATTTCACGTTTCATTTTGAAATAGTTATCCAGTAAACCTTTACTAACAGTACTACGTCAATGTGTAATTTTTTACCCAACAATGTAACTGTTACGTGCGAACATGTGTTATGTTACATTTATATTGTTGAGTGGGAAGTCATAATATTGATAATGTTACTGTTAATTTATGTTTACCGGATACTAACAAGAACTTCTATTACTCAATCATTAAATACTTTTCATTAGGTCGATACGGAGAAGAGTTATATTTGGGATATTTCGAAATACGGAGAAACGTTCGAACTGCGATATAACATCGTTAAAGATCTATATCACGTTATGCGTAATAATGGTACCATTCTGGAAGAGAAATGTGGATGGCTGGAAGGGATGAACGTCATGGAAGGTGGAGTTTTCCGTAAAGTGGAGAATGATTGGAAGATGGTTTATTTGGCGCGGTCCCAGCAAGCGAAACGTGGAAGTGTTAAATGGACTTTCGAAATCCCAAATTCCAAATCGTGTCTAGAGACATTGACTCTGAAAGCTAAGTCGGAGGTGTTCCAAAATGCCACGGTATCCTGGGAGATCGAGGCCATTTTTGACGATGACAGAGCAATTACAATATACGTTCCAAACTACAGTAACTTTCACACGGAAGAAGTAAGAAAGGC